ATCACTTTCTTCAGAGGTGCATGCTTGAGTTGGCCATAAACAGATTGCCCCTAAGTTCAATTCTGTCAGGGCAGTTCTTGTGCTCAGGCCTATCAGAACTCAACAGGGGTTAGGCTCAGACATGTCTCACACTGATACATGTCTTTTAATCTTAAATCTTGAAACATGAGGTTAGGAAGAATGTGGCAAAGGTGGATATGTACATGTTTATCTTCTCCACCTAGTTGTTTTCCCAAACCATAAGGTAGAGTGTCAGGAAGGTTCAGAGCCATCTTATTTGTAATTCTGGCTCACTTTTGTTAACTGCCAAATTTCAAGGCCTTTTAAGCGAAGGAAGGGGGACCCTTTTTTGTTTGATTTCCTAATTGCAAAATATGACAAGGCATAGAATGAATCATAAGACTTTTTTTGTGCAGTTCTCAGTTGTTTTGTTTAATTTAGTTGTACTGGATTTTGGAAAAAGGTATCGACTTCTCATTTATGGCCTTTTAAGTACTGAATTTGTCATCTGGATTGCCAAAATTTTCCAACTGTGATTTTATGGATCCAAAAATTACACATCAGACTTTTTATTTTTTTGGAACCAGGGTCCTCTTTTATCTTGCCAATAGTTTGTTATTTGAATTGGAATATCTTTCCCAGTGCTCACCCAAGATGCCTGGTTGATTTATTGTTATGGCTTTAAATAGAACGGATTGGAGAAACAGGATTAATGTAGCCAACCTCATATACTTGGGATAAGGCATCGGCGATGATGATGATGGTGGTAGCTTGAGGATATGAAGTTGTGCTGCATACAGACTAGCAAGATTCAAAATTTTGACATGCACAATACCAAAAATTGTGTATTGTGCGTATTAGTTGGTTGATTCTCTCTTTTTTTTTCAGTTATTTAAAAACGGGCTTATTAGGATGGATATTAATGGTTGAAACTGTTAATATCCCCTAACTCAATATTTTGGCTTTCAGTGACCTTCAATACCAATATGATATGCATGATACAATACAATATGTATTGATACTTTAAACCTCGCAGGCCAGCAATTTTTTTATAACATGAGCTGCAATACTTACCTATGAAGAAATAATAAAAAATTCTGCAGTCCTATTTCCTGAAATAAAATAATTGATTGCATTTGGGGTTAGGGACAGTTACGAAAACCCACAAGGAAACAGATTGCAATTCCAAAGGGTATCTCTTTCTTTGGTGTTTTTATGGCATTAATATAGATATGGTATCAATCAGAGGGTTACAATTTGTTTGTAGTTCCCAAGAAATTATTTAATATTTACTTGTTCTTTATGACACTTGATAGAGTGAAAAGACARAACAGGATTTTTGTAGTTGGCACATATATTTTCAAGGCTTTGTTAAGTTGCCTGTCCTTGCATGTACTGGTGGTGAGCAAATGGGTAGATTCTACCTGGAACTGAATGGAACCAACCTCGAACCGGCTTTGAACCAACCTTATCCAGTCTGTTACAGAGCAGGGTGGAACCTACCCTAACCAGCCTTGGTTGGCCTTGGTGGAACGAACTTACCTTGAAATAAACTTCATAATACTTTGGAGATGTCAATATTTGAATCCAAGCACTCATGATTGCAAAGGCCATGGTCTCACTTGACCATTGAGTTACTTAAGTGATTTGATCATTTGTTTTCATTTTAATATTTGGATGTGTACAATAAATAATGTAAAAGGTAATATTTACAAAATTTAAATTTAAATTATAAGTTTTGAATAATGATAATCTACATATTAAGTTACTCAATTTAATCAATAAAGATAATATAAGTTAAGTGTTGTTGATCAAAAAAAAATAAAGATAATTAAGTTTTAAACTATATATTATATTTGTTGAAAATCATGTTTTTGAAAAACATGCTTCTTTTTTTTTATGGGAGTAAATTAAAAGCAGGTTCCATGGGTAGACCCCGGAACCGACCCTGGAACCACCAAGGCCAGAACCAACCCCTACAGGGTAGGTTCCAGGTTCTGCCATGGAACCAAACTAGACTGACCCATGCTCACCCCTAGCATGTATTATGAAATGCATTTTTAGAGATTGTTTGATAACTGCTGAAATAGCTGAACTGAATGATTTATTGCTTGTCTTTTAGTAAGGTATTGGGGTTGTGGGCTCCTTAATGATTGAAACTCAAGTTGGGTTAATTACATTCTGTCAAATATTTTATTATTTAATTATTTTATCCATTAAAAGACAAAACATTTAGTCATTCAGTTCTCTAGTCCTGGGTATTTAACATGGCAAGCAACTCAGGTGAAACTGATTTTATATGGAGTCAATATTGTAGCTATGGCTCAGTTTGGGAAGAGTGCAAATACAAATATGTGCAGTGCAAATACAAGGTTTAGAAATATCGATTACAAGGTTTTGCACTCTACACATTTGTATTTGCACTCTTCCCAAACTGAGCCTATTTCAAAGAATATTTTAATTTTATTAGGTTGTGTACCAATAATTTAGAACTGCAGTGATTTGTTTAAGGACTGGGTCTTGGGTGAATAGTTCAACTACTGGGTTGTTTAGCTGCGACACCAAAATTAAAGTTAATTAAAGAGAAAACTAGAGCAAAATAAAAATATAATAACTTTCAGAAAAATCAGAAATATTAGAGAAAAATCATGAGTTTATAAGTTGTTAAACTAAAGGATCCATACTTAAGAGTAATAATTTGAACAATTCAAAGAAACAATCTCTCTCCTTTAGTCATTAAATTTTACATATGGAAATCTTTTCTTTATTGATTTGATCAACTTTTAGTTAGAAAACTTAGCTTTCTTATTGGCTTACAAATTTCTTTCAAGATAGAAATTCAGTCACAGGGGAAATCCTAAAGAATATATTTTATTTTCATTATTTTTGTTTTTTGTCCAAAAAACATATTTGAACCACTCTGTCTGGTCTTGGTTTTAGACATTATTGTTGCTTCTCTATTGATATGACCGTGCAGACTTACGTGTATTCCCCATCTTTTCCCATGGTAAAGTTGACCATTCAGTAGTAGTACTCTGTACTCTGTACTCCATAGGCCTCAATGGAAAATGAGTCACACTAATTAGGGGTAGTTCTGAATAAGGGTGTCAATGGACCGGTTTTGGATTGGACCCCGTCCAGTCCAAAATCAATTTGGACAGATTGGACAGACCAACAAGACATATTGGATTGGACCAATCTGGTCCAAAATATTTATTAGATTGGATTGGACCTGGTCCGTCCGTAACACATTTATATTGGATTGGGTTGGATTAAGCCAATATCTGGTCCATTGATATAAGATAAGAATATATGTGTTAATGGACCGGGTTTCGGTTGAAACCAATCTAAACCAAAATAAATTTGAGCAGATTGGATGGTCCAGACATTGAATTGGACTGGTCCAAATTGGTCCAAAACATTCATTGGATTGGATTGGACCTGGTCCATTTATAATGGACTCACATTGGACTGGATCGTATTGGACCAAATCCAGTCCAATTGACACCCCTTGTTCTGAATTCCAGTTAATATGCATGATATATTCTCAGTTTATAAAGTAATGTATTTCAACTTTTTCATAGTTTGGAAATCCATTTTGCAGCTGCTTTCGTGCTCATTTGTACTTGATGTATAGACTTTGTTATTTACATTCCTTTGATCAACAATGTAATTTTTCTACTTACGTTGTAAGCCTGTCTTCCTGAAAGAAAACTGAAAACATCAAATTTTGATAAAAGGAAATTTTGTTGTAGCTTGGAGTTAATTATATGATTTGTGCATGACACTCCGTGAACCTTCTTCTGTTTGGATCCTTAGTCGGATTTAYCTTGTTCCTAACTGGGTGGTGATTTTCAGGAAAAGCACAAGGAGAAGAAGCATAAAAAGGAGAAAAAGGACAAAGAAAAGAAAGAAGGAAAGGAGAAGAAGGACAAGGAGAAGGACAAGGAGAGAAGCAAAGATAAACATAGGGAGAAGAAAGACCGAAAGGAGAAGCACAAAGATAAGAAGGACAAGGAAAGGGAGAAAGATAAACACAAGACCTTGGACGACAAGAGAAATGAAGGGCGACCTGAGGGGCATAATGCTGAGAAACTTGGTCAGAACATTCAGTGTGCTGAGGAAATCAAGGATTCTAAATTTGTTCAGGAGTTGGACAGGAGGATTAGAGATGAAGAAAAGGGGACAGGAAATCAAATGGTTGAGAACTTCACAGGTACAGGTCATAGGAAAGCTGAGATTATGTCCAGACTGGTCGAAAAGAGTATGGAATATAGGGTTCAAGGAAAAGAAAAGAATAAGGACAAGAAAGGTGATGATAGAAGAACAGATGGGCAAAGGAACAAAGATGAGGAAAAAGGCATGGGAAATGCTATGCTTCAGAGCTCCACCAGAATGGACCAAAGAAGAGTTGAAGAAGTGGTTCGACCAATGGAGAAGGATACTGAGAAGAGGGTGGAAGGGAAAGAAAAAAATAAAGACAAGGAAGGTAATGATAGACGGAAGGATAAGCACAAGGAGAAAGATCGAGAGAAGAAAAGTAAAGGAAAGAATAAAGAGAAGGAAAAAGAAAAGGAGAAAGGAAAGGACAAGAACGAGCACAGACTTAATGAGCAGGATAAGTCCAGGGAGAGTAGCAAGAAAGACCCTGTAGTTACTCCAAATGTCAAAACCTTACACCTTCCCAAGGACAATGAAAAAAGTGCTGCTACAGATGGGAACCTCAAGAAAAGAAAAGACTTTGAGATGAATGGATTTTTACATGGTGAGTCAGTGATTTTTGTACTGCACTATTGTAGCACTGCAGCATCTCTGTTTCTCTTAAATTGTTGGAAGCACATCTTGTACTATGTGCTTTCAACTAGGGATGTAATAGATGCATTGCAGTACTTGATGGTCATAAATGGTTTGTTTTGGGGATGCTGACCATTGGTTTTGACTAAACTATTTCCAACTGATTAGGATCATTTTCTGTTGATTAATTCATTTTCTTCTGTGGGTTTATTCCTGTCTTAGCTTCTTATTAGCTGATTGGCAATTTTGTACTGTTTTCTTTCAATTTTCTTTCAGACAATGAAATTCAGCCTAATAAGTTGCCAAGACCCAGCTCTTCCTCTCACCCATTCCCGGAGAATGGAAGGAAATTAGAAACATGCCGAACTGCTATCCAGTTTTCTTCAGATAGGCAGGGTGCAGCCAATAACCATAAGGTGGATGATAAGGAACACAAGGTTAATGGTATAATACAAGATCGACCTATTCCCACTTTCTCAGCAAAGCCTTCTTTCACCACAGTAAAAGCTAATGGGAATGGTGAAGCACCTGCAAAACCACCACATCGTGATTTGAAGTATCTAAGCCAGATACTGACAGTACCTAAAATGGAGGAATGGTCTGATTTTGATGACCAAGAATGGCTATTCAGTAGTGATAACCTCCGACTGGAGAAGTGCAAGCAGCAATCCTCGGGGGTTGATGAGACAACACAAGTGTGGGGTGAAGCTTTGCAGATAGAGTCGGCTGATGTTTGTGCACTGCCATATGTCATTCCATACTGATTGATATTCAGTGGACTTGACGTTCTTGCCATTTCCATCTCAACACTGCAGGGGCCAGGAAAGACCCTTTGTGAAGGGTATGGCAGCTTCTGGGTCTTGAGGTTGTCAGTTTCTCATACTGCATTATCCAGTTGTTAAGACGCCCTGTTCTTTCAGGTATAAATGTTTCCGACGTCTGTTGCATTAATATATGCTTGTGCCTTCACCTTGTCCTGAAATTGTTTTATATGGAATCAAATGTGTCAGATTACCCTTCACTTGCTCCATGCGTTGGTGCATCTTTACAGGAGTTGGATTAGAGGGTTTTTGGTTTCCCCTTCTGTTGAGTACTAATCAATCAGAGCCATCATAGGTGTATCAGAAGAGACATGCCATGTACTCCAAATCAATATGTCAGGCTAACAGAAAGAAAAGGGAAATGTGGTTTGGAAAGATGGCTTAACTTGTGCGATTATTTTCCATTTGTTTTTTGAAGCTTAAAAGCTCTTCTAATTGAGAGAAGCTTGGAGTGGTCTTTGCTACGCCACCACAATTTTGATTTTGTAACATAAGTCTTATTTACATGAAATGTACAATAGAGGGAAAAGAGAAAGCAAGAGGTATTCCCATTCATTTATCCTTTAGTTCTCTTGTAAGCATTTATTGATCTATTTTCTTCTCAATTTTGCCCCATGAATTATGATTATCCTCTTGATTGGTTTTGAGTCCCTAGTTTTGTCATCACCTAAGCTTGCATAATATGTACGGGTCTAATGAGGTAAATGTTGGGCTAATTAGCAGAGCCTTCCTTAAGCACAGGCACAGTGATATGCACAAACTGGATCACTACTTGATGTGCAAGAAATCTACTGGTGAGCATGAAGAAATAATTATCTTATACTATAGAAGTTATTCTATTATTTGGTTGATAGCATGAGGTGAGAGACAATATCCCTGCAAGTAGGGGTGTCAATTGGACTGTATTTGGTCCAATCTGATCCAGTCCAATGTGAGTCCATTACAAATGGATCAGGTCCAATCTAATAATTATTTTGGACTTGTCCAATTCAATGTCTGGATCGTCCAATCTGTTCAAATTTGTTTTAATTTAGATTTGTTTCAACCCAAATTCGGTCCATTGATACCTATATTCTTATCTTATATCAATGGACTAGATATTGGCTTAATTCAGTCCAATCCCATATAAATTTAATACGGACGGACCAGGTTTAATCCAATCTAATAAATATTTTGGATTGGATTGGTCTAATTTAATGTCTTGTTCGAGTCTATCAAAATTGATTTTGGACTGGATGGGTCCAATCCAAGACCGGTCCATTGAAAGAGTCTAGAGTTAGATGGCTAAATTTCATTTGGTGAATAATTCTTGGTCCTCAAAAGTCGAAATGCTGTGCAGCAAATTCTGTGGCAAATCCAGGCTATTTTGTTTGAAGTTTACCTGGTTCCATCATCCATGGTTTGACAACCAATGTCTTGTACAAGGTGTATCTAGTGGGAATAGCCTTAATAGTTATAGAGTTGGAGGCGGAGGCGAGCGGTTTCCGGAAATGCTTCTATGACTTCCTGACTGCTCTGATATCTCTCTACGCTTCTTGACCCGCACTGTTGCCCCTTTAAATGATTTAGGTTTTACCTTAGTGACGGGGGTGAGATCGTCTCTGTGGTTCGGTGATTCCATCATATCGAGTTCTGATGCACAAATGCTACGAAGTACGAACTCGGCTTGGGTTCTGGTTCTCACGGAATGCCCATCGTCTCCAAGTTACGGGTGATCATGGGCCGGGTCAGGCTGGGCTTTGCCTTCATAACAATGGGCTTAGGCTAGGCCCAGGCCTGGTCTTACATGGGTCCGGGTTGGGCCAAGATTCTGGGCTTAATTATTGTATTTCAGTTCTAAAATTAAACAATTGTATATTTTTTTTACTTATTGTTGTAGAGATTATGGTAACTTGTAGAAACTTTAAACTTAATATCAAGATAAAAGCTTCTAACATAAAAGAAATTAAATCATTATACCTTGTAATTTATAAGTTTCAATTGGTCATTAGTATGTTAAAAATGATAATTTTAACAAACCAAATCTTTTATCAACAAAAAATCAACCTAAAATCTATAATATCTATCAAAAAATAACCATCCATTGTCATGTAATATCTGCAAAACAACTTTAAAGATCTCTATAAGGGGCTCCATCTTCCATTCAACTCTTACAAATAAAAAGTAAAATAAAAAAGATATTAGCAAGCTAAGAAAAAATAGTTCAAATTAATATAAATAAATAAGTAATAAAAAATTGAATATGGTTTCAATTTTACCCAAAACTTGCAACCACTCTAAACTTCATATTTATCTTCATCAATGGAGTTTTCATCACTACAAGATTCGTCTTTTGGTGAGAGAGAGAAATTGAGCGAGGCGGTGGTTTTGTGAAATTGGTGAGAGAGAGAGAGAACCGAGAAGATTAGGGTTTAGTAATTTCTATATTTTTTTAAATACTAGATTAGAATTTGGTAAGATTTAAGACCATAGGCTTAAAATCTTTAAACTCCTACAAATCTCTATTAATCTCTATTTAATATATAAAAGTATAAAACATCAATTATCAAATATTTTTAAATAACATATATATATATATAAAGATATATATTATTCATAAATATCCAGGCCAGGCCGTGCCGGGCCTAAAAAGTTAGGCCCAAGCCTGGATTTTTCGGCCGGGCCAGGCTGAAATGATCAGCCCTACTCCAAATCCAGCTTGACCACCGGAAATCTAACCAGCACCTCTTAGTTTCATCTTGACTTTCTTCACTGCCTCTTTCTTCTCTTCTTCAATAGCTGGAAATCTAACCAACACCGCCTCAATCCCCAACTTCAACCACTCCGTTCCATCTCCATATTTCTCATGGACTCTTTTGTCTCCTATCGCTATTGAAATCGAAGACGCCAAGTTTCCATTTAAAGTCAGCATTGATCATGGTGGGAAACTATGAAAAGATTAAATTTTGTTTAGTGATAGAATTACAAATTGAAGAATGGAACAGATGCAAAAAGGCTGAGAGAATTTGATTTGTAAGTTTTGACCATTAAAAGGCCGTTATATATATATATATATATAAGCTATTAAAGTAATTTGATCAACCCTTTGTCTTTTGAATTTAATCCGCTTGGGTCACAACTCACAATTGATTTATTTTCAACTTTTTCCTAATTCATAGATAGTGCCTCCGTGTCATTAACCAGCATCCAGCAAGTGCAAGTGAAAAGCTGATGTTGGCCCCCAACAACTAAAGTTTTGAATGCAAATTTGGCGTCTTGTTTTAACATTGGGAAATCCAAGAGCTTTTGTATTATCCCGAGCCGATCCATTTATAAAAGATTATATATTATTTACATTATTTATATAATTATATTATATACTATAATATATTATTAGGTACCCGAATTAAAATCATAATCTTGAAAAGCTAACAAAATTTTCTTGAATTCAGATCAGTTTGATTTCTTGTCGAATTAGATCTATACCCTTTACCGAATCCGATTCGATCCATTTGCAAACTTACCTTCAACCAAAGTTAAAAAAATCGTTACGTATTGGTTGATAAGTATCATTCCGGGACCTCTCTGGTACTCCCCTACAGTGGGTGTATCAGGGGTCTGACTGGTTCAAGGGGTAGAGGAGCCTTAAACCGGCCCCCTTGAACCAGTTTAAAAAAAAAAAGGTATCAATTCACCCGATATGCCCCTATATCGATATTTTGAACCTTGCCTTCAATCGCAAAAATTCGCAAGGTTCAAAATATCGATACGCCCGATACGTCGGTATGGGCATATTGGGCGAATCGATATTATTATTTTTTTATTTTTTTTCTGAAACTGATTCAGGGGGGCTGGTTTAGGTCTCCTCCATCCCCTGAACTGATCAGACCCCCGATACACCCACTATAGGGATGTATCAATGGGGTCCTATGTATCAATCGGTACAGGCTGATACGTGTCAATACTTTGAACCTTGAATTCAAGTTTAATCATTTTCCCCCGAGGGCTCATCGTACTCACTAGATCTTGGAAATCCAACAATTGGTTCACGCAGGCGAGGAACATAACGGAATTAGCAGAGGCAATGTTGTATGTGAAAGAGATTATTGGGTATCACAAGTTTGCCTAGTTTTATATATATAAAACGCTTTCGGAGATCGAGATTTGATTTGTTTTTCATCGAAAACGAAGAAGGCCGAGGATGGCCTACGGTGCGTGTTATCTGAAGGGAACACGCTTTTTCGACCGCGGTGGTATGATTGCCGGGCCCTCTCCTCGTTCCGCCCGCTGGCCTATTGGGATAGCAGCCTTCGGGCTTTGCCTGCCCTTTCTAATAAAAAATTCCSGCTCGGCCCGGGAAAGCGCTGGCAACAACAGAAAGGAAGGGGTCCATGTAGCTGCTGCGCCCGCCCACTGAGCCGGGGCGCAGCAGGTTCAGCATTAAATTAAGATATTTCATATTCAAATGTAATTAAATATTATTTATTATTAATTTTGAAAATAAAAAAATCAAAAAAATCATATTTGAGTGACAAATGTCAAATGATCCATGGATATAATAGATCAGCCATATATATTAAGAATATATTTAATCCTAGGGCTATATCATAACAAAATGTAATTAAATTTTATTTATTAATTTTGAAAATTATAAAAAAAATTCAAAAAATCATATTTGAATGACAAATGTCAAATGATCTATGGATATGATAGATCAGCCATATATTAAGAATATATTCAGTCCTTAGGGCTATATCATAACAAAATGTAAATAAATTTTACTTATTATTAATTCTGAAAATTACAAAAAAAATTAAAAAAATCATATTTGAATGACAAATGTCAAATGATCTATGTATATGATAGATCAGCCATATATTAAGAATATATTCAGTGTTTATGGACAAATCATAATAAGAAATAATTATTTAATATTTATTTTTAATTCTGAAAATTACAAAAAAAAAACATATTTGAATGATAAGTGCCAAATGATCTATGGATATGATAGATCAGCCATGTATTAAGAATATATTCAGTGTTTATGGACAAATCATAATAAAAAATAATTAATTAATATTTATTTTTAATTCTGAAAATTACAAAAAAAAATTTAAAAAAATCATATTTGAATGATAAATGTTAAATGATCTATGGATATGATAGATCATCCATATATTAAGAATATATTCAGTTTTTATGGACAAATCATAATAAAAATAATTAACTAATATTTATTTTTAATTCTGAAAATTACAAAAATTTCGAAAAAAAATTGTATTTGAATGATAAATGTCAAATGATCTACGGATATGATAGATCATCCATATATTAAGAATATATTAAGTGTTTATGGACAAATCATAATAAAAAATAATTATTTAATATTTATTTTTAATTCTAAAAATTACAAAAAAATTTAAAAAAATCATATATTTAAAGTATAAATGCCAAAATGCCAAATAATCTATGAATATGATAGATCAGCCATAGATCTACAATACATTCAATTCGTTATGGACAAATCATAATAAAAAATAAAACAAAAACAAATATTACATAGAAAATTTCAAATCTTACATGGATATGGTAGATCATCCATAGGTTTCTAACATATTAAGTTCTTACATTCAAATAAAAAAACAAACA